CCCGCCGCCGCCGCCGCTGCTGCTGCCGCTGCTGCTGCCGCCGCCTCGCCCGCCTCGCCCAGGGCTGCCATGAAGCCGAGCACTTCCTCGCTGTCGGAAGGAGAGGACGGCTGCGAGGCGCAGAAGCCGGAACTGCAGGCCTATTGGCCCCCTTGCCACACTTCCGGGTCCGGGTAGCTTTGCAGAGGCCTCCGCAGGAGGAGCAAAGCCGGAGTTGCGGGTGAGGTCGGGGAAGCCAGCTGCTGCGTCTGGGTGCCTCTCGCGTATTTGCCAAACTCGTCGCCCTTTCTGTTCCGGGTTGAATACCTTCCTTGACGGAGGGATTGTTTCAAGGTTTGTTGCAGGCAGAAGCACCAGGTGTCTGTTATGAGAAGAGAAAGCGACGGGGAAGCTTGCATCTTTTCGACCGTTGAGGACTCAGGTTTCCTCAGCCGGGCAGCGTTAAATCAATATTAGCAAACCCTTCGCGCTGATAGAGAACCTTCGCGTCCGCTGTAAAGGATTATGGCATCAAATATCCGTATTTATTTCTATGTATACCTTATTTGCACCTCTCTGTGTCACCTCTATTTCGTGGCCGGGTAATTCTTTTTCGGGGGAGGGGAGGCATTTCATTCTACTGTCGCGTTTTTCACCTTTGCTTTCGGTAATTTGTGTAACGCTCTTACCATGCTTTATGCACATGGAGGGGACCCGTGTAGAATAAAGAACTAGGAAGCCCTGCTCCCTCTTTTACTCCGTCTGGCTGCCTGCGTCTGAAGAGGAGATCCTACAAACTGCAATAAAATGTGAATGGAGCTATTTCTAGAGGAATTCACACATTACATCAATCTTAAATTAATCACTGCGGCTGACTTTAAAAAAAAAAAAAAACTTACTTCCTTTGCAGAGCAACTGAAGAGGGTGTGTGTGTGTGTATACACACACACACACACACAATGATTCATTTACCAGAGAGTAAGGCCACACAGCATCTGAGCTAAAAAAGGACCTGCTTGTGTTACCTGGAATTTTAGGCTTCATTATTAGCATTTTAAAAAGGTGATATTAGCATTTTTAACAGGGCAGTCTAGGCCTCTTCTCTAACT